TCTCACTGAATCGAGAACAGTATCGGCTAATTTGCAATTAAGATTCTTCATATATGTCACATTAGCATAAATCTAACAAAAGTGCATACATGTGTCTTTTCTACACGCCTTGATTCAGATTGACTAACCCCTTTTTTTCTCCCGGAATGTTCTTCTAAGAAAAGAAAATGAAAAGCAGAGATCCATTCATCAAAGCAAACACAGTTTTGCGTGGGGTGTCTCCAGAGTTGCATGTGTGGGGTCTTTTCATGCGTCTGAGCGATGGCCACAAGTGGGAGAAATGACGAGTTGTCACTGAAGTTGTGGCATTGATCAATCACGGACCCCAAGGTTGTTGCTGGGGGGGGTGGGGGGGTCACAGGGAGCACGTCCCCCTGCGACATGCACGCAGAGTGCAAGGACAACAAATAGGGTAAATGATGAATGGCCTCAAACGTGTGCATGCAGTTAGGCTTCCTCTCAAAATGTATATACTGCTTTCAAAATAAAAGCCTTTAGTAGGGATCAGAGCCCTAGAGAGAATCTCTCTATGACTCTGGTAGGGATGTGTTGGGACTTCTTTAAAGGGGCCCTTTTATGCTAATTTTCTAATTCATATTTGTATTTTGTGCCTCTAATGTGACATGTTAACATGCTTCAATGTTCATAAAGGTCTTTACTTTTCTCATACTGCCTGTGCTGCAGCACCACTTTTCACCCTCTGTCTGAAACCAGAGCCCAGTCTGCTCTGATTGGTTAGCTGGCCGGCTCTGTTGTGATTGGTCGACCGCTTAGAGATGTCCCACCCCTAAGCCAATCACATACACTGTGTTGGAGCGCTAGCCAGTAGAAGGGTGAGTGTTACATAGTTATGTCACGTGTTGCTAAAGTGGGTGAAATGGAGGCGTTTCAGGCAGGGGGGGTGTAGAACATATTTAGCCATTGCAGACCATTTACATGCACAAGGAACTATATATAACACACTACTGGAAAGGGAATATCCTCAAAAAAGCATACCTTTAACCTGTTAAGCCCCAAGGTCCCCGCCGGCGGGGACCCTGTTTTATTTTTTTCAAGACACTGTGCCTCAGGGGATCTTAATATTTAAGAACCTATTAATGTGTTATTGCAGATTAACGGAAATAATCTCAGCTAACTGACGATATAAACTATTTTTACCAAAACAAAACACAAGTCTCATAAGAAGCATCTAAATGACCCCTTAGCGAAAAATGCTAACGGACATTGGCACAGAACTCAAGATAAAAGTACCCTTATTACTTATCGTAGCTGCACATACAAGATCTCCGATTAAAGCTGAGGTTCCACAGATTATTTAGGTATATAGTATCATCACTGAGTGATCTGAATTCGCGACAGGGGAAGCAAAGACAGACATCACAACACGTATCTTACGTAGCTTCTAGGGAGATCGTCTCACCGTAGCTGTTAATCTGATCAAAAGACGTGTTCAATGGCATTAAAACGAGAAAAAACGCGGCTGAATCGGTTAATCCATAGGTTGATAAAGTTTCTGGGCAATAATTGGAATTATTCATAATCCATAATTCCATTTTTATGTAAAAATCGTAGAGCAAAAGTTAGCTGCTAACCAGAGTGGCTGCTGCTTCCGGTCTTGGCTATGCGGCAGTATAATACAGACACATGACCAAATAAGGACTATGTGGGAGTTCCCCTCGATTCCATTGGCTCTGACGGTTAGAAAGACATGTCACATGTCAAAATCCAGCAGGGGGAGCCAGAGATATGAAAAATCCACCCAAATGGCCCCAGAAGAGGTTTCTTTTTGCTATATCTGTCTAAAAATGTCAAATATCACTTGTTTTGCATCAATCTTGATACAGGGTACTTATTATATGTTGTACTTTGGATTCCTAAAGCTTTTAGTCTACTAACCCATCATCCAAGGTTAGTTTTCACTATAAGTACAAAATATTTTTTGGACGGACACTATAATTTACAGTTTTTTACCATGTTCAATCTAAACTTTCTTTAAAATAAAAAACATCTATATTGAATCTGACTTTTCTACATCCAACTGACAGGTTTATCATTACTTTGAGAAAAAAGATGATTAATTTAACCCTTTTAGAAGGGAAGATATGGTCATTTGTTCTGGGAAAGTCATTTTCGAGCCTCGACTCCCAGTTGACTCAAATTGAGAGATTTATTTGTGTTCTACAAGTTTTCTGAAAAGTGTTTGTTTAAATGTGCAAACGAGGCATTATCATATTTAAAATGTATTAGTGCATACTTTCCAGAACAGAAATCATCGTTTCATTTTGAGATGTTAGAGGGAATTTTGGAGATCTCTTCTAAATCTATTTTTGCCATGTTTTTAGGAATAAAATGCTATATAAATAGGGTTATGAATGATTTATGAACAAACCCATTCTGTAAAAACCTTCAGAATATAGATGGGAACAAAATGGGAAAGTTGTGTAAGTGCTACTGAAGGGGAGATTTCTGGCTCAGTGTGTGAGACTGAGAAGACATCCTTTAGAGATAAATAATAAAAGATATCAGCACGAATCTTCACGAGAGGATTACCTACTGTACAATAGCAAAAATATATTTAGCATTACAAGTGTTCAGAAATTATGTTCAAACAAATTAAAACGGGGCATGATCCAATGCTATCTTCTCATACATTTTGAAGAAATTAACAAAGACAAAGTGTATTTATAAAAACATGAACAGCATAAATGTGTATTTTGGATGTTTCTAAAATAATAGGTGTTTGTTTATTTATTTAGTTCTGTATTTGTTGTTCATTCGTTTGTTGTTTTTGGATCACTTAATAGAGTGAAATCAATTGAGCAAAATGTATAATTAATACTATGTGACGCCAAACATTTGTATCAAAAACATTAAAAAATAAATAGATAATAATACAAAAAAACGTTTCACTTCCAGCTGCATTAATTATAATAAAAAACAAAGGAATACATATAATATAGGCTGTATTACCTATCCCAGCCATATCTTTAAATACAATAGTGAAAGCATATTGTGAAATGGAAGCTTTAACGGTGCAGCATGGCCATCTCCTGGTTGATTTCTGAACTACATGCAGGGTGGAGCCAGCACACGATCTCCTCTCTGCCAATATGAGTTAATGCTTTAGAACCACAGTCTTCTCATTCACCCACCCACTACACATCTCCAGTGCTTCCAGCCCCCCCCCCCTGTGAGGGTTAAGCTCTGGGACCCCATGGGGTGTAAATCTGCTGGAGCCTGGAAACCCGGCTGTGGACCGGTCAGCTGGCAGAGTACCTGGAAGAGGGCTTTATTTCACAGGGGTGTATATCATACAAGTGTGCATGTTGCATTTTACACATACATTCTATACCTATTGGTTTGGTGTAACTATTTTTATTATACTTATTTATATATAATATTTGTCAATATTGTAAAATGTGGACAAAATGTGTTCCCTTCTCTTTTGTTATTATTTTATTTAAAAACGTTATGACACATTTTTACATAAACTTATTTTGAGTATGTAAATATCTTTATTTGTATTTGTATGACTATTTTTTTATTCTATTACCATATCTTCTAACCTTAATGAATATATTCCAATTTTAAACTATATTTTCTTTTTATTTCAGTTTTTTTCAAGTTGTTTTATAAATATTTGTTATATTGTTTTAACTTTATTGCATATTTTTTGAGTTTTGTTATTTTTTCTTTTTAGTATCAGTGTGTTGCTATCATGTTTTATATTTAATTAATAATACCGAGACCGATAACATCATTTAGTTTTCATTGTTTCTTGTCTTATTACATTTAAATATAAATGAGACCATTGTCACGGGTTAGAAAGGTCTGCACTTCATGACCATGCAACAAAGTGGCAGGAGACATACATACCAGCAGACAGGACTTCTGCTTTAATGGATTACTGAAGTCCAGATGACTTTAAAACAATGTTAAAATGCCTGGACAGAGAGAAAAATAATTAAATACAACTCTGAATTTATAATAAATGGACTGCAGGACGCATAACACTGCTGTGTTCCAAAGGTCACCAGGAAGAATTATTAAACAGTTTTATTGACAACAGTTATTTACTCAATAAAACAGATAATGAAGAGACCGGCATTCAAAACAGAGGTTGATAAATACAAAATAATAATAATAAATGTAAAAAATAAAAAGGTTGAACTTTAATTATGACATTCATTAAGAGCTGAACAGTAAAAACAAAAAAAGACAAATTCAAAAAACCTTTAAATGTATAAATGTTAAACATATAATAAAGTTTGATTTATGTAGTAAGGCAATAAACGGAACACAAGCAGAGAGAAGCATTACTCCATCTGATCAAACATGCTCACAGTTGTTTGGAGTACCATCGAAAAAGTGATCAAGAACAATCCACAGCTTGTTCTCTAATATAAAAAGACACGTTTAGTGTTCTTTATCAAAGACAAATGACTTCACTGTAAGAGGTCAATAAGGATATGATTTGGAAAGTTGATTTATGTTGTGTTGTGACAACCAGCTCTCTAGACCTACTACTGGTAACATAAACACTAGGAAAGGTAAACTGCCAACTATATAACTCAACAGTACAAGTATATATGGATAATAGCAGCTCATAAATAATAATAATAATAATAATAATAATAATAAACTTGAGGTCACTTGAGCTTTCATATCTTTGCTGGTAATCATGTGCTACAATAGAAATAATGAACTCATCATATTCATAATGAAATGATCTACCACTAAACGTTTCTCACAACTTTAAAAGCTGCTGTTGAGAGTCAGTGTTATATTTTCTGCCGTTTTTTTAAGTATTTGAAAAGAAAAACCTTATTAAAGTGCATGGGCTAAATGAGTGGCAGAGACAGGATATTGGTTGAAACTCAGATTATATGAAATGTGCCCGGGTGCTCAGAACTGAATGTATTTATCTGATAAGAAACCGTCGAGGCGGATATTGCAATTGATAGAAGAAAGAGGGAGAAAATCCACGCTGAATACAAATGCTGTGTTGGGAAGTTTAATTTTCCACATTTTAGAACATAGAACAAATACAAAATGCTATTGAGGAACTCTCATTTGAAGAAATAAATAGAAACATTAGAAGCTGTCAGGAGTCGCTGTTTTCTGAACTGGAGTCAGAAGAGCTGCTGCTGTCTGAATCTGAGGAGCTGCTGCTGCTGACGTGATGCTGCACTGCTCGCATGCTTCTCTCTGGAGGACGGGAGGAGAAGCAACAGGTAAATGATACGGATGCAATTCAAATATCTGGCACCAAGGTTGTCATTTGTGCGCTAATTCCTATTGATTATAACACATACAAATACATAAAATATTCAATCTTTATACTTATTTGTAGTTCACATTTTGATATCAAACTGTCCTTTCCATGTTAGGAATCATTTAAATAGGTTTTAGGTTCCTCCTTGTAACAGGTTATATTCTCCCAAATATAATCCCATAGCAAAGACAGCCATCAAAATGACTTTTTGGAAAAGAAGCCTACAGCAGGCCCTACGTAGGATACATGAGAGGGGTCTGCCTGCAGGGGTCTGCCTCCACTCTCAGGACAGTTCCGGTGCAGGCTCCACTTTCAGGACACCTCCACTGTCAGTACAGGAAGTGACGATTCTGACGAACACGTTTTTTCCCCCGCCCCCTGAAGGACTTGTCTGATGGAAGTTTTCAAATCACAATGGGGACTCACCATGCACTTTGGGTCGGCCTTGGTCAAGCCCTTTTGACCCCCCCAGCCTCTCTTCTCCTCTCACTAATCGAATGGCAAACGCGACCCACCATCAGAGGGCCTCCACCGGCCCGGCCTAGTGCCGGTGCTCTGGCGGTCGGTTCCTCCTAACTGCGGGTTTGACTGATGGCTGGGAGGGTGTGCTGCATGGGGTGGGGGACTTCCCCCACTCTGCGTGTCTCTTCCTTCCCGGGCCGGCCGATATGAAGCGTGACCAAGACGCACCGTCTGACTCAGGGGTCCCACAGCGGGGTGGAGGTTCCCGGCTGGAACCTCCCCACCTCCGCCGCGGTGCACCCGGCAAACACTGTTGTTTCTCAAACCCTCCACTTTTGTCTAGCGGGTGTAACTAAAATACAAGATGTCGTTATTTATATATATATTTATTATATATATATATATATAGATATAGATATAATAAGTGTCAGTGCGATTTTATTTTGTATTAGCGTGCATTTCCTGTTCGGAAAGTGGTGCTGTACTGAGAGTAAACAATACAAGGTGACCCTATGAAGGGCAGAGTCGACGGACGGTATTTTTGTCGCAGAAATATATAGGAAGCCAAAGGATTCTTCCATTTGCTTTTGGAATATTGCAGAAAATAAGATCTGTAGCAAAATCACATTTGTGATTATCTCCACATATTAACGCCACTTTTATCCTTTCCGAAACATCAATGCCATCTACATCGGTAAAAAGCTAACGTACAGTTATAAAGGAACGACATCACGGTCACATGGCTGCCTGGTATCACCGCTAAGCTAAAAGCTAACTCGTTTGCAGAGTGATGACATTTAGAAGTCTCATTTTGCCACCTTTTGGAAAGCGCAATTTGTATTTAACCACAGATTCTATTTCCTCTAAACACGTTGACTTTGAGACGAGGGAACAGGAAGTGGTAAAATGCTAACTTATTTCGTGATTCAGGACTCATTCCTGCACCCCTCTATATGGGAGAAGAACGCAGTTCAGTCCTCCAGCACAGTTTTGTTCCTCTCCCAGTAACATTGCTCAGAACTTCCATCCCACTACTCACTCTGAAACTTGTTGAACTTCTTGCGCAGACAGTACTGGACGTAGCGCTGCAGCTCGCGCAGGGTGGACGGCTTCAGCATCTCGAAGTCGATCTCGATCTCGTCGGGGTTGGTGTCGCGCATGGTGGGTTCTCGCGTCTGTATGATGCGCACCACGTTTCCCAGCTTGATGCCCGGTAACCGGTTGATATCCAGGCTCAGCTGGTGCTTCTCGTCGTACGTCATCAGCAGACTTTCATCGTCCGAGTCCCACTCTTTGATCGCCGTCCACTCCCTGGAATTCAAGAGGAATCAGTCAACTCCAAAGACATCTATTTAGATGAGCTTTTTATTAGCAAACCCCCCACTTTAAACGTTCTTATTATTTACCTACCTTTAAATTGTTTTATTTATTGTATAGGTCTTAAAAGGATGTTATCATATTTCATTAATCTAGCATGCTTCAATAGCAATATTTATTTGTTTCTTAATCGTTTAACCTTTATTAGAATTATGGCCTTTTTATTACCATTATCTTTTTATTTGTATTTCTGTTGTACCTATATGTTCACTTTGTTTTATATGTTATATTGTTGCATCGACTCAGTTGTCTTACGTCTTATCTGCCAGAGAGAAACCATCATTTATTGTATTTGTATTATCATACCTTTGACCTCCTTGTGTCTCTTAACCTGATCAAATGTTATATTTTGCTGCATGTACAGTACCTCTAAAGTTCTTAAATAATCTGAGGGGAATTTCTAGTTTATTTTGTAAAGTGCTTTGAGCCGCATGTGCTGTAGGAAAAGTGCTTTATAAATAAAGCTTTATTATGATATGGAGTGTTTATGATAAACGTTGTACCTGGAGATGGGATTCGGGCTGCCTTTGTGTTGCCTGCTGTCCTCCTCCTCCTCCTTCTTCATCTTGTCCTTTTCTCTCTTCTTCTTTGGTTTCATCACGGGGACGTCAGAGAGGGCAGAGAGCTGGTCGTGAACAGCTTTGAGCTGGGTAGTGTCAACAGAAAATGGGTTTTGTGGTGCTATGCAGTAACCAATCAGAATCAGGCAAATATTCAAGTCAGTGAGTAGCTCCTGTTTGCTACTAAGAAGAAGCGGATGAGGGAGGCGAGGACGTCTTATCGAGCAAATGACTGTATGCTAGGCTAAGTTTAGCTAAGCATGTATTTACATTATAATTTACAGCACAGGTTTTTTAGCTATATTTCATTCTAATTTGAAAATGGGTATATGTTTTTATTTTGTGTGTTGGCCAGGAAAGCCAAACCTTTCAAAGTCATTACACAGGAAGTCAAAAGAGTGGCGAAGGAATGAGTTCTAACATCTGGAAATGATTCAGTATTTGTCCATCTTTGGTAAACACAACCTAAAGAGATGCTGTTCTACGACATTACATAAGTCAGTAAATATCCCGTTTGTAAAGGTTTAAGCTTTCATGTGTGTTAAAAATTGCATATGCTAAGAACTGGCTAATTCTTCCTTTAGCATAATGGCGTAGCTCTTGGGTCATTTGATTGTGCGGTAGTTTTTTTTTAAAAGCCTAACATTAGGTTTTTGATCCATATCATTAAAAGGGATTTGTGGAGATTCTTCTATTTTAAGATTCAATAGAAATATCCCATTGGCTCTTTGTTGAGGGAACCAATCCGTTGCTAACTTCCTACTAAGATATGTCATTCCTGCAGCTCTCTACAAATCAAAGGAAAGTAGCGGAGCCGAGAGTAACTCAGGTTTCTATCCCTCAGGTTTGAATTGGAAGTCAACCATTTAAATAAGGAGAAAATGAGATTTGGAGATCTGTGTAGAAACCCACCTGTTCTGCACCCACCTGTTCTTGCAACTCAGCAAGTCGAGTGGCCCGCTCCTCCTCTAAGTCCAGGTTGGAGGAGCTGTTGGTGCTGATTTCACCAAAACCTGCGCTCTTTGGTAAAGGCATCTCCACCGGCTCCTCTGGCATCTTGGCAAACCACTTCTCAAACACACTCTAAAGCCATGGTTACAAACAGACATAGAAAACATGTATTTGAAATGATCTTGTATACAGTTGAAGTAATCACCTGAAGTTTTCTGGCCTGGATGACCACGTCGTGATTTGGAGGGTTGTATTTGTAGCAGTTGGAAAAAATGAGCCGGACGTCTGCAGCGAAGCCTTGAGCGTCCGTGTACTGCCCTTCAGACATCTTGCTCTGGGAATACAGAGGAAGAGTCATCCAGACAACAGATTAACTAAGGAGAGAATTAGGGAGAGTGGAACTAATTGTGATTATTTATTTTTGATATAATATGATCAGGGATATTAAGATAATCATTTCAACATGTAATAAATTAGAATAGTGTGATTTTTCTTTTAGGAGGACCTAAGATGTGTTTGTCTGTAGCTTAACCTTTGTAGGTTTCTCTTTACCTTATTCCAAATAATATCCATATTTTTGTTTAATATTATTTGTAAAATATATTTTTCCTTTCCTTAATATTACGCATACTGTGATTTGGATATTGCACTAGTTAATATTAGATAAGGGTATTTTTATTTTATTTATCCTACATTTTGAAATGGTTTTGTCCGAGGAGTATGTTTACAAGACATTACAAAGTAAAACAAAAAGATTAAATAGTAACTTTATACATATTAACATTAGAAGGAAAAATTGTAGAGTATTTTACAAACAATTAAAAATATACAGAATAAGTTAGAATACAGTGTAAAAGACCAATTTACTGGTAAAGAAAAAACATGTTTAAACATAGGATACTATATACATATATACATGTATCTATACACTGTGTATATACAGTATATCATACGAGTGTGCATGTTGCAGTTATTTTGAAATCTGTTTCGATAACACTAAGGTGACGTGTGCAGCTCTGGTGTGATAAACAGCTGATACCTTCACTGTCCCGAGGTCCATGGGGTATTTGATGATCAGGTGGTAGTCGTGGAGCTGCAGAGCTTCAGTGTCCACTGGCTTGTAGAAAGGCCAGGCGTGGGCAACATGTCTCCTCGACAGCATTTCCTTCAGGATGTCGCTGCAATACTGGAGCTGATTATTCTCTTCACTTAATTCCTGTCCGGGCTCTGTGCTTTCTCGTCTCCTCTTGCCTCCTGATGAATCACTCAAACTGGTGAAGCCTGCGGAGGAGAAATCCGAGGGGAAGTCTCCTTTCCGCTTCACGTGCTTCTTCTTCATTGGCAAAACAATAATAAAAGAAAAGTCATAACTCAACTCATGATCTGCGATTTTTAAAATATTACAATGAAGGGGAAAGAGACATAAAGGATGACTCACTTTTAATGTGGTGAGTGTAGGGTGTTGGGCTGCGGGGGGGGAGGTGGTGCAGCTGAGGCTGGGCTGAGATGTGGGCGATGCAGCCGTAGAACATGTGTCAGCAGTCACATTCTCCCCACCTGCATTACACGCAGTAAACACCATTTAAAAAGGAAACATGTGAAAAACAAGGTAAAATAAATAAAAAGGGCCTTATTGATTTATATAGGTTTTAGTGCATGTAAATGGTCTGCAAAGGCTAGACTCCCGAAGTTCCCTAGCATAATGTCCTCTTTAAGTCTCATCAAAAAGATGATCTTGTGTTGAGTAAAAAAAAAAAACTGCAACGATAATCTTTGTACATTTTCAGGATAATTTTTTAGTATGTTTGTTGTTGCGATACTCATTTCAGCCACTAGAGGCTGCACACCGCTGCCTCGTCTTCTAAATAGGACAAATAATTAAGGTCTTGTTCTATAGCCATAAACAGAGGTGAGTAAAACCTTTTCACATGAACACATTTATGAGATACAAATCCTCCTTCTTCAAATAACTATAATAATGTGAAGCAGCATCATCTGCCTGTTACCTGGAGTGCTACTTTTCTTGCCCTTCCCTTTGGCCACCTGTGGAGAAATCTCCACCTCTCCCTGAGGCATCTGGGAAACCTTCTGCAGGAAAACCTTCTCCACGGCGAGGGCCATCAGCACGATGTCGTCAGTGGGCTGAAGACAGGAAGAGGGACATCTTTGAGGAAATGGTTTCTGTGAGGCTAACCAGGGTAGTGTTGTATCTTTGTTAATAAGCTCCTCACCTTGTTGTAGATGTAGCAGTTTGTGAACATGGTGTTGAAGTCTTGCATACAGTCACTTGCGCTCCAGTAGAAGCTGTTCTCAAGTCGTTGTTTGATGGTTCCCAAATCCATTGGAGATGTTATAATTTTATGGTAGTCCTAATTAAGGAGAAAAGAGTACATTTCTCAGATGAATAGGGTGTTCCTTGATTTAGTGCCACATGTTTAAAAAGGATTGGATGATCCGTCCATGCAACAGGTATAATTATATTAAAATAGCTGTAGCAGTTTTTTTTTTAAATATCAAACGAGACATACTAATATATACGATAAATACATAAATAACAATATATATATATATATATATATACAGTGGGGCAAAAAAGTATTTAGTCAGCTCCCAATTGTGCAAGTTCTCCCACTTAAAAATATGAGAGGCCTGTAGATGTCATCCTAGGTACACTTCAACTATAAGAGACAGAATGGGGGGAAAGAATCCAGGAAATCACATTGTAGGATTTTTGATGAATGAATTGGTAAATTCCTCGGTAAAATAAGTATTTGGTCACCTACAAACAAACAAGATTTCTGGCTCTCACAGACCTGTAACTTCTTCTTTAAGAGCCTCCTCTGTCCTCCACTTGTTAACTGTATTAATGGCACCTGTTTTCAAACAGGTGCCATTAATACAGTTAACAAGTGGAGGACAGAGGAGGCTCTTAAAGAAGAAGTTACAGGTCTGTGAGAGCCAGAAATCTTGTTTGTTTGTAGGNCGACCACATGAGAGCACCACAGACCGTGGAGGCTTTTAAAAAAGGTCTCAAAACCCATCTGTTCAATAGAGCCTTTCCCTAGACCTTTTATTTGAATTGTTTGTTTTTTATTGATTCTACCGTGTTGTGTAATGTTTTTATACTGTTCATGCTCACTGCTTGTAGCACTTCGGGATTTGAAGTCAAATATGAAGTGCTTTATAAATGAAACCCATTATTACTATTATTATTATTAATAATAATCTACATTCTTCAATAGATAGACAAAACAGCTGGGGACACTGAATCACATTTGTTGTCGCTTATGGCTCGGGGTCATCTACACCCCGAGAAGGATGTGTTACAGGTGTCCCACAACAACAACAACAACAACATACTATCTCTGACCGAGAGGGGCCCGGTCACAAACTGGTAACAACAACAAAATGGGCAGCCCCTCCTTAAGGGAGATAGCGGCTGCGTCAGAGGGCGAAAGGTAAACATGTATGGAAATTATTCCCTGACCATTTCTATTGAGATGTTTACATTTTGGAACGTTTATTTCTAGTCTTTTTAATTTTTATTGTACAATGCCATGTCTTTTTTTTGCTGCTGCAACGCAAACATTTCCCAAATTTGGATCAATAAAGCACTATCTTATCTTAAACCATAAATAAAAGACTGATGCATGAATGACTATCTGAATCTGAGGGATGCTTCCTTACCTTAGCGAGCACCTGCTTGTCTTTGATGATGTACTCGTAGGTGGTGAGCAGCACGTTGAACTTCCCGCTGCGCAGGATGGGAAGGAACGCCCGGCGAGCAACAGGAGAGCCCTGAGGAAGAACAGCAATTATTGTAATTAATGTTCGACAACAGAACTGCACACACACACCATATTATTGACCTCGGCTTTAAACCCCCATGAGACCCAAAGACTATTTTACACTAATACATATAAGTGTAAGAATAAATAGGTTCCAATTTTAGTCAAATAAAACGTTAAAAAAAGTAATAATGAAAGAAAGTCTACTGGTGTTTTTATTTATTTTTAAGATATCGTTAAAATTTAATTATATTGCAGAAAATATATTTTTTAGTTCTCTACTTGTTCATAGAGGATCATTTCACATAAAAAACCAATTGAAAAAAAGTTAAAGGTCACCTATCATGCTATTAGCAGGGCAATAGCATAGGTCTCAGATATATAAAAAACATGTCTATGAAGTGTTTTGCTCAAAATACCAAACAGATCACCCATTCTAGCCATGCCTCATATCCCTCTATTTCACTTCCTGTTTCAAAAGTGATGATTTGGGTATAAAGCTTTTAAAAAATAAAAGGAGGGGTCTGAGCTCATGCGGGACCCGGCAGCTACTGTCTAAACTAAATACTGCCGTGATGAAACGCCATATCATGGATTATCAAGGATTATCTCTGAAACAGTATGGAGCTCAAAGGCTTTCTCTCTTGCCGGTTATACCACAAGGTGAGTTCCTTTTTACTTCCTGCTTCTTCACGCACATGCTCTCCAGTACAGGTTAGCTCTGAGTGTTAGCGATGCTAATGTAAACACCGACCATATTACGTCCAAAACAGTCGGGCATTGTTTCTGATAGCAACGTTTCTGATAGGGCCGTGGGTCCACATTTCAGATATTACGTCATATCGGAAAAAAATAGGAATAACAATATATATTTTTAAACTGAAAGAAAAAAATGGAATAATAATAGGAAATAAGGAAAAATAAAATAAATAGGCTTGTATGATGGCGAGCATAAATATGCAGACAAATGCATATTTACACTCATGTATACATTAATATACAGTTTATACACAGATATACGTCCGTACATAGACAAACACAGACATCTTGGGGCTGCATTCTTTAAAACTGTGTTATTGTGATAATGTTATTTTACATTTATTAAACCATTGCAAATATTAATTTACACCTTGAGTGTGGAAAAAATAAGTGGTTTTGATACAGAAATTCAAGAAGAACCACATTTATTTATCAGTAAATATGTCTCTACTCAATTTAATTTATTTAATGTAGTAGCATTAGGGTTGCAAAGGGGCGGAAAGTTTCCATGGGAAGTTCAGCTGGGGAATTTTGGAAATATTCGATGAAAAATTAAACAAAAAAACATGACATTTCAACAGATTTTTTTATTTTTATTATTATTATTTGATTGAACAATTATTTGTTTAATTGAAGAACGAAAACAGGAATGTTGAGTTAAATGTTACTCATCCCCCCCAACCTCACTCACTCTTCTCCCTCCAAAAAGTCCCATTAAACATGCAAATCTTCCTTCAAGCGATCCTCTGCATTTTTTACCCTTTCAGTCAATGGGCTCTTCCTGGGCCTCATCAACATCACACTCTGAGTCTTCCTCTTCAGTGTCACTGTCCAGCCTTGTTGAGGATGGCTCTGTGTCAGGCTCAGAGAGCCTTAGGTTTGCCCGAATGCCAACCAGTTTTTCCACTCTCACATTTGTGAGCCTGTTGCGAACCTTTGTGTGGTCTCAATAGCCATGCAGTAAGCAGTGTGCTATGGGATGGATATTCAAGTGCACTTGAATGGCATCTGTTTGCTTTAGTCAAGATTATGCTAAAATATACTTTCCCCAACTACATTTAAGTTCCCTATGAAGAGCCAACCTTCAATTTGGAAAATTCCCAGTTTATTCCCGTTAATTCCCGTGGAAAGTTTCCATCTTTGAAAATTCCCGGAATTTTGCAACCCTAAGTAGCATACTGTACATCAGGCAGTTTCGTGCCTGTGTAACATGCACATAAGAAGAACAAAGTGTTATATGTATTTCCCATAACCTCATGTACATATGCTGTCAGTTATAGAGGAAGGTTTTAGTGAAGTTATATTAATTTTTAAGCCGTTAATAAAAACCCCTCCCTTTGACCTCAGGGCTGCTCGAGGAGCGGGCGCTGCTGCTGGGTCGCATGGGGAAACACGAGCAGGCGCTCTTCATCTACGTGCACATCCTGAAAGACACACACATGGCTGAAGAGTGAGTCCTCCTGCACACACACACACACACACATGTGGGCACGGTTATAGAATGTGCGGCTTTCTGAGTAACACGATAGGGGTACATGCGCGGGAAGCATAGATTGAGAGTACGATGCGGGCCAGTTGTGGCTAATGTGTGATGAGTGTTGAGCAGAAAATAAAGGTAACAAAGCCTTTTGCCTCTGTTCAATGGTCTGCGTCCCCTCTTAACCAATTATAAGGACTCTTCTTTCCTCCGATATAAGGATCGTCTTTATGGGCGGTGTTTGATTGTATCGGTGGACGTTGGAACCTTTGTGGACACGACTCTATATTTCACTAATGTGAATTCTCTACTTAAACAACCTTACAGAGTAATTGTGAGGAGTGTAAGGGTCTTAATGAGTCTAATTTTGACCTTAGAAGAGAGATTATGTTCGTTTCGTACATTTGTTGACTGTTACATGGGCATGTTTTGGTGGGAAGTCGTGTAGAGCTCGATAAGTGAATATGTTGTGACAACTTTGAAATTGTTACTCCGGAAATAAAATGGTGACCATTATCGAAACTGAACTCCGAATCGTCAAAGCTTACGTCCTGTGACAGAGGGACATTGGTCTGTACAATGGGCGTGGCCGAGGCACGAAGCCGATAGGACCAAATGGAAAGGATTGGCGGGAGAAGTGTGGGTGCTTTAGTTATAAGGTTGTAGATGATTTGTTAGCTCCGCGGTGACCCGTTTGTAAACCGACGAGAAGACAAAGACTTCGAGCGCGAAGGGGACAAGTACGACGTCTAGCTCCTACAACCTCACTCACACGTCACAGCATACGTGTGAGGCCCACACCGTCCGTCCTGAGGTGGAACGCGTTCGGTACACAGCACACACCACACACACCTTCCGTCCTGAATCGTGAGAAGCCGTAGCACACACATACACACGACACACATCCCTCCTGAGAAGTCGGTAGCCACACAACACACACACCACACACACCACACACACACACACAACACCACACACACACACACACACATCTCCTGAAGAGAGTGCGCGAGCGAGCGAGCGCACACACACACACAGCACACACGAGCGACACAGCACAACGACACGACACACACGAGCGAGGCGAGCAGGCGACGGAGCACAGCTGCGAGCGAGCGAGCTGCGTGCACTTTTGAGAAGGAGACGAGCGCGTGCGGGTCCCCTGAGTGAGAAGTCGTAGCGACGAGCACGCGAGGAGCGACGAGCGAGCGAGCGAGCGAGCAGCGACGCAAACAGACACTCAGACAAGACACACACACACACACATCCTCCGTGAGAAGTCGGTAGTCACACAGCACATTACCACAGACAGACAGACGACGCACACACTACACACACACACACACCACTCGTCTCACTCGCCACACACACACACACACACACACCACACTCGTCTCACTTAACACGACAGCCGTCCTCCTGAGGTGAGAAAGTGCGGTACACACCAGAGACACAGCACACAGCACACACACACACACACACACAGACAAACACACACACACACACACATCCTCCTGAGAAGGTCGCGTACACACGACACATTACACGGAGACAGACAGACGAACGCACACACACACACAGCACACACCTCTTTCTCACTCCCACAGCACACACACCACACACACACTCGTCTCACTCCCACACACACACTCACTCAGCTCAACT